ATGGCTGTATATTTATTAAGCGCATATTACAATAGTCTCTTGAAATGCAAAATCTTAAAAGCAGAAAAATAAGAACTGAGGGATATCCTAAGACTTACAGAGACAAAGAGAAGACAGCAGGAGGAACCAGTGTCACTGCTCTGTTCTCCAGCACTTTGAGGCCAAAATGAATAAGAGCTCGCTGGAACATGATTCACAGGAGCTCTAGTGACACTAGCATCTGACTATCCTACCCAAAAAGAAATAGCAGAAAATGCAAAAAAACGGATTTAAAAGAGCAAAACAGGTGGGTCTTAAGCCTCGTCTTAAACACGGAAATAGATGGAGACTCGCGAACAGTGTCAGGTAATGCGTTCCAAAGCTTTGGGCCACGACACTAAAACTGGTTGTGAATCTCAGAGTGCGTGAACATGTAGCCGTCATTGAATAAGGCAGATATATACGTCGGTGTGGAGTAATGGAGAGATTTATAAACAAAAAGTAAAATCTTGGATTCGATGCGCTGTTTGATGGGTAGCCAGTGGAGAAGACGAAGTGTAGGGGTGATGTGTTGGGATCTGGGTGTACCACAAACAAGACGAGCAGCGGCATTAAGCTGGAGTTGTAGTTTCCTAGTTACAGAATTGGGTAGTCCATAAAGAACTCCATTACAGTAGTCGAGTTTTGATGTGACAAGTGCATGGATCACTTTTGCGGTGGCTTCTTTATTTAAGTAACTCCTGAATACTGCGAATTTATGGAACGCCAAAAGGACAAAATACAATTGGCAGCAGCGCAAAACTGAGAGTCAGCTGTGCAAAACTGAGAGTTAGCAGCGCAAAACTGAGAGTCAGCAGCGCAAAACTGAGAGTCACAGTGCAAAAGTGAGAGTCACAGTGCAAAACTGAGAGTCACAGTGCAAAACACAGAGTCACAGTGCAAAAGTGAGAGTCACAGTGCAAAACTGAGAGTCACAGTGCAAAACTGAGAGTCACAGTGCAAAAGTGAGAGTCATAGTGCAAAAGTGAGAGTCACAGTGCAGAACTGAGGGTCACAGTGCAAAATTGAGAGTCACAGTGCAAAACTGAGAGTCACAGTGCAAAACTGAGAGTCACAGTGCAAAACATTGGTGGCAATGCAAAACTCCAATGGCAGTGCAACTCAAGTGGACGCCCTCTATTTTGCTTTTTTGGACGGTGTCAACAAGTAAAATGGATGAAATTTTGCGGTCACTTGGGCACTCCTTAGTGACCATTGACAATTTTGAAAGGGGGGGGGGTGTGCGTATAAACGTTACAATTAATACAAAAATTAAGTGTTTGAAATAATAAACGGTGGGCTATGGAGAAGGCTAGTAGTAGGTACATGTGCTCGGGCTTGTCAAAAAAAACAAGGCATAAGTCTAGATAACCTAAATGCCTCGACTTCGTCGGCTTCTCAAGAAACATCGTTTTCCTAAATAAATCTCACCTAGCTGTCTAAATTTTCTGCTTTTTGTCATTTCTATTGTCTTTGTTGATCCCCAATTGGTTATCTTTTTTTAAAAATTTATTTTGATTGCGCCTTGTATATATCCCTTGGCAAAAGGCGCGGTACAAGTTCCTGTATTAATAACTAGGCCAGGCCTAGCCTAGTCTTTGAGGCCTACCTAGACCTAGGCTAGGCCTGGAATCCGCCGCTGAAATTATATTGTATTCAGGTCCGTAGGCAGGGGGTGGGGTGGGTGCAGAGGCTGCGGACGTACCTCCCCTCCCAAATTCCAAAAGGTCTACTTTTTAAAACCTATGATTTCACAAAATCGTTCCCAATTATCACAAAATGCTATAGCATGCATTGCATTATATATTTGCCGGCTTATCTAACTTGATTTTTAATAATGTGGTATGAAATTTGTTAGAAATTGATCGTCTCCGGTGATTGTCCATATAATATGAATAATGTTATCTATAGGCCTTCAGATGTACAGGACATAATAACGTTACATTTTCAGGTCCCAAAAACACCCAAATTAATGAAAATTTAAATGAAATATTCATGAATTATGTGTTTGAGAAATCTATTATGTAAAGACCCTCAAAATGCTACTTTGTCGCTTTTCTCACAAACTCCCTCCAGGCCTCTGCCCCTGGCCCACCAAATTACAAAAAGTCCAATTTTTAAAACCTGTTATTTCACTAAAATCGTTCCTAAAATTATCACGAAATTTTTTATTTATGAAAGCTGAGCGGGATAATTCGGGGTTTGGGCGGGACAGCGGGACACGACTCCAAAAGCGGGACAATCCCGCCGAAAGCGGGACAATTGGAATCTATGCCGATGTTCTTGTTATTAGTGAGTTAGCCTAGGCTAAAAGAAATTCCAAAACGAAAAATAGGGGCATAGAAACTGCAGTGTTTTTGGTTTCGGTGGGATATATACATATGTA